TATTTCTGTGTGACCTCCACTCTGCTGCTCGTAGTCATTGTAGGTATCCTGTAATTCTAGGAGGGGTGATGTTGGTAGAGTGAGAAGGATTTGCTCAAGACTTAGTGATTCCTGTATAGCCAGCATTCTGTTTATACCGTTTTGTATATTAAAATATCTATGTAATGGATTGTCATTTACACTTACATTCTGTTGGCTTGCGGGCCTGATTATTATTATTTTTTTAATTACAGATATTGGAGTTTTCTTAGACTTGCTGTTGGAAGGGAGCTATGAGGCCATGTTCTTACATTCAGTGACACGAAATATATTCAACTCCACAATGATGGCTGAAGAAAAGATTGACAGCTACCTGGAGAAGCAGATAGTAAATTTCCTGGATTGCTCTACAGATTTGGAAGACATTGAAAGGTAGAATTTTATTTGAAATTTCCACAGAGAAACACACTTGTGCAGAGGGCTGGAGAGATGGTTCAGTGATTAAGAGCACTTACTGCTGTTTCAGAGGACTCAGGTCCAATTCCCAGCACCTGCATGGTGGCTCACAACTGTGCAACTCCAATTCCAGGGGATCCAACATCCTCTTCTGACACCCATGGGTACCAGGCACATATGTAGTGCGCATATGTACGCCCAGGCAAACCACTCATATACATCAAATGAATAAATAAATTTTGGATACTTTTATGGCTCCTTGGCACCATAAAGGCTTTGCAATTTAGCAGTTGTTGATAAACCTGAGCTCACGATGTGTCAAGTAATCTCCGTGAGGTCTCTGGTCCAGATCTTCCAGAATGAGAAATGGAAGTAGTTCAGGATCAAAATGAGTTTTGTGTATGAGAATGACACATGCGTGGTAGTCACTGCTAATCTCCCCAGAGCTTAGGTTTGGTAAGTGCTAGCTATCAGCTTGTGTCATTTTGCTTCTTGTTGTTCCTCATTTTGTTTTGTTTTGGGGCAGAGTCTCACTATGTAGCCTTGTCCTGGAACTCATTATGTAGACCAGGCTGGCCTCAGACTCACAGAGATCCACCTGCTTCTCTGCCTTTCAAGGCCTGGGATGAAAGGCGAGTGCTTTAAAGGGGGCAGCTCACTTTTTTTTTTTTAAAACGTGTAAATGTACCTTGAATCCTGCTATTTCTGAAAGATGCTTGCATTTCCATTTGCTATGTCTCAGATTGTTATCTCTGCAGTGATCAGAGAACTCCATGTGTTTATCATGGAACCCTCAGTTTACCTTTCTTCAGTTAGGATGCCTGCACACTGGTTAAATCTAAGCCTTCTAGAGGCTTCTGTTTTATTGTCATACGTTGTTAGCTTACTTCTTCTTCTCATCCACCCATGACGTCTGTCTAGAATTCTTAACCATCTCCAAAATGCCTATAATATCATTCTACCCTGATGTTTACAGAACAGTTTCAGACAGTCGTCTGAGGAATGAGCCAACTAACTTGTTAGGTTGTAAAGATAAATAAGACCTAACGCAGATTCATAAATAGTTCATAATTCTGTTTCATTTTTTCTAATTTCCAATAGTATTATTCTTGATTTTGTTGAGTAGTTCATAATTCTGTTTCATTTTTTTTTTCTAATTTCCAATAGTGTTATTCTTGATTTTGTTGTTCTTGTTTGTGATCGTGTTGTGTATTACACATTTGGCCAGGGGTTTGCAATAAACTCCAGGCTGGCCTCAAACACATAATCCTTTTGCCTTAGCTCCCCAAATTTGAGGATTACAGGGTTATACCACCACGCCTAGCTCAGTTTTGATTCTTTTTTTCCCCCTCTTTTGCCATGGACTTCTCACATTCTACCATTAAGCTGTATCCCTAACCCTTTTTTCTACTTTTCATTTTGAGGCAGGGTCTTACTAAGCTGTCCAGGGCGGCTTTGAGTGTGCGATCCTCTTGCCTCAGCCTCCTGAGTCGTTGGGACTGCAGGCTTCAGCACACGGCAGGCTTTGTTTCTGACTCTTCTTTGCTGGCTGATGTGTTTCTACTGTAGTAAAGTTCGCCTCGTGGTGTCCATTCGCATCCCTCCTCTTCCTTTCCCCACACATGCGCGCGCGCAAATGCATTATTCATAGGTGCACCCTAATTGTAGTTTGAAAAGAGGCACTTGGTATGACGTCTTTCAGGGTACACTCTGCAAGAGAATGTTTTGATGACGGGGAGATTCTGTGTCTTGTAATCAGTATGGTAGCCACTTTTCATACTTGGCTATTGAGTACTTGAAATATGGAAATTGTGACTGGAGACTACGTTTTAAGTTTAAGTTAAATTAGATTTACATCTGTGTTAACAATTTTTAAAAGATTTATCTATTTTTATTTTATATGTATGGGTGTATTTTGCCTATACCAGTGTGCTCCATGAGCATGCAGTGCATGTGGAAGCCAGAAGAGGGCAGCAGATCACCTGGAAATGAGTTACAGACAGTTGTTGGCAGCCATGTGGGTGCTGGGAATAGAACCTGGGTTCTCTGGAAGGGCAGCCAGTGCTGAGCCATCTCTACAGCTCTAGATTAAATTCAATTTAAAAGCCACATGTGGCTAATGGATTTATTGGACATTGCAGATATAAATTGTACTATCTTAAGATAGTTTCAGCTATTACTTGATGGTTTCTTTTCTTCTTTTTTCTTCTTCTTCTTTTTTTTTTTTTTTCCCAGACTGGGTTTCCCTGTGTATATCTGGCTGTCCTGGAACTCACTCTGTAAACCAGGCTGGCCTTGAACTTACAGAGATCCACCTGCCTCTGCCTTCTGAGGGCTGGGATTAAAGGTGCACACCACTATTGCCCAGCCTAATTTTTTTTTTCTTAATTAAGCTGAAATTAAGTAATATACGTACAAGCATATGGTGATGGTGGTTGATATTTGTTTATTTTCTGTGCTGGTTGGTTTCTGTCAATTTGACACAAATCTAGATATATCTGGGAACAGGGAATCTTAATTGAGAAAATGCCTCTGTAAGGTTGGCCCAAGCAAATCTGTAGGGCATTTTCGTGATTAATGATTGATGTAGGAGGGCCCCACTTACCATGGCCATACCGGGTGCATAGTCCTGAATGATTTTAGAAAGCAGGCTGAGGAAAACCATGGAGAGCAAGCAAGCAAGCAGCATTCTTCCATGGCCTCTGCTTTAGTTCCTACCTTCAGGTTCCTGACTTGAGTTCCTGTCTTGATTTATCTCACTATGGAGTGTGACCTGAGGATTGTAAGCTGAAATAAACCCTTTTCTCCCCAACTTGCTTTTGGTCGTGTACTTGTTTTTTTTTTTTTTTTTTTTAAATCCCAGCACTAGAAACCCTAACTAAGACCTTTACCATTCTTGTCTCCAGACAGCAGCTGGTTTTCTTACTTGGTGTGAGCAGCTTGCAGCTGTTTGTTCAGAGCAACTGGACTGGGCCTCTCGTGGACTTGCACCCTCAGGATTTCTTACCATCTGTTCTGCTTGAGCGGTTTGGTGAGGTACGCTTCTTGGACACGTTATGTATAGTTTCTTTTTTTTCCCCTAAATGTAGTTCTTTTCAAACAAGTGCTCGTCAATTGGAGTTAACGGTGGGCAGGGAAGAGATGACTCTGGTTTGCACAAACCGCTAAGAACGCTGCCTTCATTGATCTTCTGACCTCCACAGTGCTGCGGCATCTGCATTGGACTTACACATATGCACATGTAATAACACATGTACGGTACATGCATGCACACACACACAAAGACTATGTCTCCTTTGCACTCAGCACCTAGTTGAGAGAGTAGACGTGATCATTGTCATAGAGCAGGGCTTCTGATGGGTCTCTCTAGATCTTGAGCCCTGTCTTGATTCAGTAGTTGCATGGGCCTGGGGCTGGTGAGGTCCTTCCAGCTCTTTTCTTGTGGGTTTACAGCTTCCTCCTTTTGCCTGTTGAGTTCTACGAACAGTTGGCTCTTTTCTATTTTGATTGTACCGGGTGTCGAACCCATGGCTCAGCATGTTAGGCAAATACTCTACCACTGAGTTAAACTCCCATTGTGATACTGTCTTTTTGTGCTCTGATCTGGACAAATCTGGGCACACTGCAGTGGAAGACCCTGTGTGCATCCTGATAGCATCTCTGACTCCTACTTTCCTGATCTCAGCAGTTTCTTCTGGATCATTCCACGCTTTTATTCACGGTAACTGTGTATGGCTCCTTAGGAAACGTACTATTTAGTGTTGCCTGGTTTGGGTCCATAAGTAAATTAAGCAGTGTATGGATTATTTTTTTGACTTCTCTTATTGGTGATATGTTTGAAATTATACTTTTTATTATTATTATTATTATTATTATTATTATTATTATTATTATTATTATTATTTTTGGAATTGAGACAGGTTCTCACTATGTAGCCGTGGCTGATTTGGAACTCACTATATAGACCATGCTGATCATGTACTCACAGAGATTGTCCTGTCTGTCCCTCCCAAGTGCTGGAATGGAAGGTGCTATCACTACACCTGGCCTTGTTACTTTTTTTAAAAAGAACTTGGTATATGTGTGTGTTTGTGTATGTGAATGAGGGTGCCCGTGTGCATGTGGAGATCAGAAGACAACCTTGGGTGTTGGTCCTTGCCTTCACCTTGTTTGAGACAGGATCTTCTGTGGTTTGTACTGTGTGCTCCAGGCTAGCTGGCTTTTGAACTGTCGGAGTTCTCCTGTCTCCGCTTTCCTTCTCGCTGTAGGAATGCTGGAATACAGACTCTTGCTGCTGCCTCCGCCTTTCCATGGACTCTGGGATCCAAACTTGGGTCCTCCGGCTTGACCAGCTAAGTGGCCTCCCTAGCTGGATGGAAACTGTGTCCTAGGGGGCCTGTGCTTCCGTATTTTTATTTTCTTTTTAATAATTTTCTTTTCTTATTATTTTACATATTAACCACAGCCCCACTCACTCCCCTCCACCTCCCCTCACCTGCCCCCAACCTGATCCCCCATCCACTCCTCAGAGGGTAGCATGGGGAGTCAACAGAGCAGTGTTTTTCTTGCTGTCATTTGCCTGTGTTGATTTATGTTTAAATATTTACAAATATGCTTTGTACATATAGTTACATATAATTTCCCCTGCTTTCATCTATGATCTTGGCATTTGTAGAGCTGTTTTCCAGCCACTCATTGGTACTAACCAGCCTCAGACGAGCAGCAGGAAAGCCCATGTCAGACCAGCAGGTCGCCTCTAACACTGGAAGGTCGCCCCTCACACTGGAAGGCCATCCTTCACACTGAAAGGCTGCCCCTATGTAATCTGGCTTTATAAGCTTGACCCAGACTTCCAGATGTTGCATTTCCTACGCTGTGTTGATGAATGTGTATTTTCTGTATCTTCTGCTCTCTTGCCTGGAGGATTGCTGGTTTTTTTTTTGTTGTTGTTGTTTGTTTGTTTTTTACCTTTTGCTTTGTCTATTTTTATTGAAAATATAAGTAATCCTTTTAAAAATGGGCCATTCTGCCCTGCTCTTGAAGCACAGTTAGAACCTAGCTGTGAAGTCTGTGTGTGTACAGGGCCGAGGGCTGTGCACAGTACTTCCCATGTGGTGACCTAGGGTAAGGAGAAGAAGAGAACGTACCTCTAACTTAGCTATTCAATCAGCCAGTCACTGAATGTTATTTGTTAGGCCCATTTCCAGAGAGATGGACACTGAAGAGTAGCTTGGAACCGGCCCTGGGAATTGCTATCAGGACCATGATGTCATGGCTGTCTTGTCTAACCTATGTTAAACTTTTTTATCCAGGGGTTTTAGGTAGAAGACAGAGCTAGAACAGAACATGGTTCTCATCTCAAAGTGATGGGATGGTTCTTCCTCTTCCTCTTCCTTCTTCCTGCACTTCACCAGAGTGACTTGACCTTAGGAAATGTGCACTGGTAGCCATGAGCTCCAGTCTGATGTGGGGAGCACAGGTTAGCCACCTGAGTTCCTGTCTGAACTGAGGAGAACAGGCTAGCCACCTGAGCCCAGTCTGGTCTGAGGAGAACAAGTTAGCCACCTGAGCTGCATCTGTTGTGAGGAGCGCAGACTAGGCAGTTACTTTTTGAATTGTTCTTTAGTATTTTTATTTTATTTTATTTTTGGCATGGATTTTGCTATGTTGCTTAGGCTGATGTTGATTCTGAACTCCTGGGCTCAAGCCATCTTTCTGCATCAGTCTCCTAGAGAGCTGGGGCTACTTTCATACACCATTATAGCTATCTCGACATTTATGGATCTGTTTCCTCACTTTCTAAAAATTGTATTTTTACTTATGTTGTGTGTGCATCCTTGTGTGCGTGTGTGCCCCTGTATCAAGGCCAGAGGTTGACTTTGAATATTTTCCTCTGTTATTTTCTACCTTATAATTTTTTATTTTCATTTTTTTTTTAATTTGTTTGTTTTATTTTGTGTTTGAGTGTTTTACCTGCATGTATGGATGTGTACTATATGCATGCCGTCTGAGGAGGTCAGAAGAGGTTGAGTTTCTTGGAACTGGAGATATAGACGGCTGTGAGACATGATATGGATGCTGTGAACCAAGCCCAGGTCTTCTGCAGGAACAAGTGATCTTACCTGCCCGTTTCTCCTGTTTTTTGAGGCACAGATTCACTGAGAGCTCATTTTCACTGGAGCTCATTGACTTGACTAAAATGACTGAGCAGGAAGCTGATTGGCTCCTCCTGGCTCTGCGTCCTCAGCACTGGGATTACAGATACTTTCCACTGCACTGGGGCTTTCCTTTTTTTAAGGTGGGTGCTGGGATCTGAACTCAGGTCCTTATACTTGTGCAGAAAGCACTTTACCAACTGAATTCTCTCCACAGCCCCAAGCCTTCCTCTTTGGGGATCCTTCTATGCACTGTAGTCTGTAGTTTGCTCACTGTTTGATGTGAAAGACCTGGTTGTTAATTTTCATTGATGGAAATTAGGGATTGGGGATGTGCTACATAATAACCTTTGTGATGGAGCGAATCCTAAGTGAAATATAAGTATATAATACATACTTATATGTATAGAATATACTCTCCATGTAGGGTTACTTCTTGTTTTGAGACAGCCTCTCAGTATGTATAGTGAGAGCTACAGGCCTGGCCGTCCTGGAACTTACTATGTAGACCAGGCTAGCCTCAGAGCTCTGCCTGCTTTTGCCCCAAGTGCTAGGATTAAAGGCGTGTGCCACTACACCTGGCATGGATTACTTCTAATTGAAGTGGTATTTTATAGGAAATGTGAAGTGAATGCTCATTCATTGCTAGCATTTTCTCAAGTTCCCTTTCCTTCTGTTCTTTGTTGACACAGGGTCTTAACTGTGTTGCTTAGGTTTGCCATCAACCTTTGACCTTAAGATCTAATCATGATTTTTTTCCCCCTTTGACAAGTATAGAAGAGGCCCTGGACCTAACAATATGCATACACCTGTTGATGGCTCTAGAGGCAGTGGGACCTGGGAGAATGGAGCTGATAAATGAGATGGACTGAAGTGTCATGCAATAGTCAACTTTATTCAGAGTGTCAGACAGTTTGAACTTTGAGGGCTAAGAAGGTCACATGAGGAATGCATACAGTCACAAAGACAAGCTGCACATGGTGGGCAAGCCGCATGTGGCAAAACCCGATTTTCCATGGAGACAGCAATGGCCAGTTGTAATTAATAATCTGAAGCAAATTCACTCCTACCCACTACACTGGGAGAGGCAGAAAAACACATTCCAAGAACAATTCCGTGTTTTAAAGAAGCTGAGGTCACAAGGCTCTTGTTCTCTTGGAGTTTTCTCACAAGCACTCTGAATTCTCCTCGCATGACTCCATTGTTGGATGGTGTTTGAACATATACTTATTTAAACTTCTGGACTCAAGTGTTCAGCTTTCTGTGGCCCCACGTTGGAATGCCAAAATGTTGTTGTTTGTTTTTGCTCTTTGAGGGGTCCGCCACCCACCTCCCAAATAAATCACACATGGAAACTTATTCTTAATTATAAATGTCCGACCTTTAGCTTGGCTTGTTTCTTGCCAGCTTTTCTTAAATTAGCTCATCTGTCTTTTGCCTCTGAGCTTTTGCCTTTCTCTTACTTCTGTAATCTTACTTTCACTCTTACTCCGTGGCTGGGTGGGTGGCTGGCCACTAGTGTCCTCCTCTCCTTGTTCTCTTGCTCTTTCTTCTCTTTGCTTTTCCTCCCAGATTTCTCCTTCTGTATCTTCTCTCTGCCTGGCAGCTCTGCCTATCCTTTCTTCTGCCTCACTATTGACTGTTCATCTCTTTATTAGACCATCAGGTGTTTTAGACAGGCAGAGTCTGTCTTCATATATATTATCACTATCATTATCATTTTATTATCATTTAAAATAAAACGATGTGCTATCTTATTATCTTCATTATCATTTTATCATTTTTATCATATATTATCATTTATCATCATTTTATCATTTATCATTATCATTTATCATTTTATTATCATTATCATTTATCATTATCATTTAAACGATGTGCTATCTTCATATATTATCATTTAAACGATGTGCTATCTTCATATATTATCATTTATCATTATCATTATCATTTTATCATTATCTTTTATCATTTATCATATCATTATCATTTATCTTTATCATTATCATTTATCATTATCATTATCATCATTATCATTATCATTTTAATGATAAATCAGCTTCACAGAGTTAAACAAATGTAACATGAAAGATGCAACACATCTTTGCATCATTAAAACAAACGTTCCACAGCATAAACAAATGTAACACAGCTTAAAATAATATTCTACTATACTCAAGTGATCCTCTTGCCTCAGGCTCTTGGGTATTTTGAATTATTGGTGTACCCCATGTACCCAGTCAATTAAAAACTGTCTTTAAACATTCTGGTTGGATTTCTGGTCCTCTGATTTTAGAACATCTCATGTGGCTGTCTGAAGGGCAGGATGGGTGTGGAGGTCTCTAGTGACATTTGCAAGATTGTAGTCACTTCTGGTGTCTCTTGCTGTGTAATTAATGAATGTTCTCATTTCTAAGCTGAATTAATTGAAATATCTGTGTGTTCTTATGACATATAACGGTGACTATTGTTAAACTGTGTAACCTTACACACCTTTTTTCAGGTCAAAGGACTGGATGCTATTATTCTGGGCCTGCTCATTCTAGATGGTGAATCTATCTACAGCCTGACCTCAGAACCCATACTGCTGTTAATAGCACGCATTGTGCTAGTGAACGTCAGACATAAACTAACAGCTCTCCAGGTAAGGCAAGGAGGGAAGGTTCTGTGAGCATTTCACCAGGTCCGTTTTCTGTATTTTCCTGAGAGACTTAATTTTAAAAGTCTCATGAAAATAAGTAAAAATATTTTCTTTTCTTGTGGGGTTAATCTTGTGTAAGATGAGATTATATTGAGCCTCTTTATTTAGTAGGAGAGTCTGTGTGTGTGTGTGTGTGTGCGTGCGCGCGTGCGTGCGTGTAAGTGTTCATTCTTTGAGTCTTAAGTAAAGCTTCAGAAGTGCCGTTCATGTCTGCTACAAATTTGAGCTGATGATAGTCAATAGCAGTGAGAATAGAAGGGATCAGAAGTACTGACTTCTGGTTTATTTGTGTTGAATGTATAGGACTCTCTGTCATGTGGTTTCTGCAGGTCGTGTACACCATTGAGCAGATGCAATCCTGCAGGAAGTTGATAGGCACTAGGAATGACACAATGGGAGTGCAGAGGTCTCAGGTTTAGGTGGAGGTTGTCAGCATGGACTGTGAAGTCTGCATGGTGACTGCTAAGCTCCTCTGTGTGGTGGTGTGAGAGCAGCCACAGTCTGTCAGCAGATGGGTTGAGTTGTGTTCCAATAAAGCTTTATTTGTGGCTGGGCAAGGTGCTGTACACCTTTATTAATCTCAGCACTCAGGAGGCAGACGTAGAGACAGGCATATCTCTGAGTTCGAGGCCAGCCTGGTCTACAGGGTGAGTTCCAGGCAGCAAGGGCTACACAGAGAAACCCTGTCTTAAAAAACCAAAACCAAAAAAACCGATTTATTTTTATGTGTGCGGGTATTTTGTCTGCCTTCATGTCTGCACCATGGGAAGCTGCAGCTCTCTAGAAGCTCAGCATATTTGTTATGTGTGGCTGAGCAGGGGGCGGGTTCAGCTGATATCTGTAGGAGCGCTCTCTGTAGGGGAAGCAGTCTTCAGGCTGTAAGCATGGACATGGGTGCGGGGTGTGGGAGAAAGTTACCATGGACGTTTTTTACACATGGTATCAACTTCCTCACACAGGCTAGGGGAAGGCTTTGCCATTTTCCATAGGTCTAAGGCATTGGAGTCTCTGACATGGCCGTGGCCATGTCACATAACACACTTTCACTCCGGATTTTACATGTACCCTCTGTGAGTGTGCATCACATGCATGCTTGGTACCCGCAGAGGCCAGAAGAGGGTGTCAGATTTCCCTGGAACTGCAACCACAGATGGTTCTTAGCCACTCTATGGGTGCTGAGAATCAAAGCCAGGTCCCCTGGAAGAGCAGCTAGTTCTCTTAATCTTGGAGCCATATCTCCAGCCTTCTCTCCATCCCTTCATGGCATGATGAAGATTTACAATACTCCCTCTTTTTGTTTTGTTTTGTTTTGTTTCGAGACAGGGTTTCTTTGTGTAGCTTTGCGCCTTTCCTGGAACTCACTTGGTAGACCAGGCTGGCCTCGAACTCACAGAGATCCGCCTGCCTCTGCCTCCCGAGTGCTGGGATTAAAGGCGTGCGCCACCACCGCCCGGCTAATACTCCCTCTTTTTATAGATTGTGTTTTTAAATATGTGTTTGTATGGGTCATGCAGTGCACAAGCCACAGGAGACCAGAGGTCTTGAGTCCCTTTGGAACTGAGGTTCAGTGGTCTGTGAGCCACCTGATATGGGTACTGGGAACCACGCTTGAGTGCTCTGCAAGCGCAGCAAACCTCTTAAGCGATGCTCCATCCCTTCAGCCCCTATGTGATTCTCTCAATGATGTTACTAAGACCGTTCTCTCCTAAAAGGTAAAGAGGCATCACATACTTATGTAAGGCTGTTTCAGCCTTTGAAGTTGTTATTTCAACCACGAGGAGCAGTCCCAGGGCCTTGCACCCATTTGGCAAGCTCTGCCCATGGGTTAAATAACAGCGCCATTTTCAATTAATTTTCGAGTGAATCATCTCCTTAAAGAAATGTATCCTGGTGTTTATTGTGATATTTGTGGATCCATATGAAAGACACACACTCTCCTCTTCCACCCTCTCTGCTCAGTCTATAGACTGGAATTAATAACATGTACATGCTGAGTAAGTCTCAGCCTTGATATCAGTCCACAGTTCTCTCGCCATCTCTCCTCAGCTGTGTGAACTTAGGCCGGGTGATCTCTCTAACTCACAGTTGCCTAGCCTGGTGAGGCTTGAGGATCATTGCCTAGCACTGAAAAAAAAAAAAAGAGGAAAGTTCAAACAGATGAGTTCCTTTTTGACTGTTTTACCGACTCTGCCATGGAGAAAGTTCTGGACTAGGGAGACCTCTCGGTCAGCCTGTATTGACTAGTGAGTGCCTTCACAGGAGGTAAGGCTGTCAGTTTTCATTTTTATCAACACTCAGTTTCTCTGCTGTGTACTTCGTAGCAAATAAAACAGGCCTTTGTATTTCCCAATAGTGCTGAAGGGAAAGCTCTACCTATTGTAGACGCTCACTTCAGAGTTAAAATCTTAGAATGACTTTAAAGAGTCCAGTGCCTTAGGTCATATGTTTTCTTAACAGCTCAGTCCTTTGGACCGGAGGCAGCTGAATTCCCTTGTCTGGAAAGGGAAGGAGTAAGCTGCCAGGCCTGACTCTGTCCTGATGCCAGATAAGGGGAGGTACTGAAATGTGGACTGACCTCACTAGCCTCAGTGACCGGAAGAGAGGAAAGTGAGGAAGCGCCTCTGGGAATTCAGCTAAAATAAAATGATTTGAAACTTCCTTCTTTGGATAATGCTGCTTTCCTTCCATGGACCTAAAAGCAGCATTAGTCATTTAAAGGATTTCATTGTGAAGTCAGAAATTCATCTGTGACCTTAGTTACACTGGTGTGTGTACCTGATTGGAAGGGGATCCGTCCCCTGTCTGTGGTGCTGAGGATCAAACCTAGGGACTGGAACGTGCTAGGCTCTACCAGTGAGCTGCTCCTCCAGCCATCTCTCTAAATTGCCCAGGCAGGCCTTGAACTTGGATCCTTCAGTTTCAGTCTCCCAAGAGTTCAGCAGACCTGCTACACCAGGTCTGTGAGAAAGGCACTCCTTAATCAAATGAGATAATAAATTCAAGTAAAATGCTTTTGATAGCTAAGCATGATCTGTTAGCAGCTACTACTACTGAAACAGAAAAATTAGTTTCTTACACATTGAGGGTACCAGTTCATTTTTTTTTTTTTTTAGATGAAATCAGAGGGTAGGTAAGGCTAACTTAAGATTGTGAGTCTGTCTCATGCTTCTGTTTCCTGAGTGCTGAGCTTGTGGGTATGAGCCATCTGCCTGACTACCTTTAACTTAGATGGCTCAGTATCTACTCATACTTGATAACACCTTTAAAAGATGTATTATGACTTGCACAGGTATACTAATATAGACAAGAATACATTCAGAAGATACATATATTATTAATCTTTGCTATGGCCTTTTCTAGAGGAAGGTAGGATTGAGGAGTAAAAGAGGAGACTGTGTGTGTGTGTGTGTGTGTGTTTGTGTATGTTTGTAGAGGCCAGAGGTCAGTGTTAGGTGTCTTTCTTCATTGTGTTTTGTTTTTGCTTTTGAGAAAGGGTCTCTCTGTGTAGCTCTGGCTGTCCTGGAATTCACTATGTAGATCAGGCTGGCCTTGAACTCAGATCCATTTGTCTCTACCCCTCAGTGTTGAGGGTGCAGATGTGTACTGCATATACTGGTGTATTACTTCTTCTTGTTGTGTTACTTCTTTCTTGTCTGTCTGTCTGTCTGTCTGTCTATCTATCTATCTAATCTATCGTGTGTGTGTGTGTGTGTGTGTGTGTGTGTGTGTGTGTGTGTGTGTGTATGGGTACCTGTGTGATTCATGGCGTCCAGAGGAGAATGTCACATGTCTTGTATTGCCTCATTTCCTCAAGACAGGAATCTCTCTTGACTGAAGTTCTGTTTCTGCTAGGCCCACTGCTGAGTTCCTGAGATCCTCCCAACTCTGCTCCACAGTTCTGAGTCACAGTTACGTGTGGTGTTTTTTTGTGGGTGGTGGTGATTTGAACTCTCAGGTCCTCATGTCTGAGCTATTGCTCTTACCTGCTGAGCCTTCTCCCTGGTCCTTGTTCTCTTCCTTAATAAGGATGTATTGATAAGCAAGAAGAAGCATGAGTGAATTAAAGAAAAAGCTGCTGTGTGCTCAATCCATACCTCAGTTAAGTTGTTGGTACTTGGGTTGTGAAGGGAATGGAGTGCCATGACAGAGCAGGGTGCTTGTCTTAGTCATTTTAGGGGAGATGGTAAGTCTGAAGTGTCTTCAGAAAGCATGAATGGAGACATGGCAGCGGGTTTTGATCCTGTTGAGAGCATAGCATGGATGATTAAGCTTATCTAGGAATAAGTTTCATGAGCGTGAAAATATTCCGAGAATTAGTCTCACTTTACATGTTTTTCCTAAGTCTCTTCCTTCCTTCCTTCCTTCCTTCCTTCCTTCCTTCCTTCCTTCCTTCCTTCCTTCCTTCCTTCCTTCCTTCCTCCCCCCCCCTTTTTATTTTTTGAGACAGGATTTCTCTGTGTAACAGTTCTAGTTGTCCTAGAACTCGCTCTATAGACCAGGCTGGCTTTGAACTTAGAGATCTGCCTGCCTCTGCCTCCTTAGTGCTGGAATTAAGGGTGTGCGCCACCACCGTCTGGCCACCTATGTGTCTCTTAATTTCAGCTTCTTTGGTGCTTTTTTTCTAGAGCTTGCCGTGGTGGACTTTGCGATATGTGAATATTCACCAGCAGTTGCTGGAGGAGCGTTCGCCTCAGCTCTTTGCTCTTGCTGAAAGCTGTATTGATCAAGGTATGTAGCAGATTTTAAAACATCTGTATTACTGTATACATGTGCAAACATGTATGCATATGAAGGTAGAGGACAACTTTAGAGTATACTCTTTCTCTCCTTTTTTTATTTTGGTTGGAGACAGAATCTCTCTGTTGTGTAGCTCTGGCTGTCCTGGAACTAGCTCTGCAGACCAGGCTGGCCTCGAACTCACAGAGTTCCGCCTGCCTCTGCCTCCTGAGTGCTTGGATTAAAGGCGTGCACCACCATGCCTGACTTGGACTAGACACTCTTATTCCACCTTTTGTGGAAGCTGGGACTCAAGCTCAGGTTGCCAGGCTCCCACAGTGAGCACCTTTACCTGCTCAGCTGGTTAGTTGTTTTTGAGATAGGTTTTGCTGTGCAGACCTGCCTGGCCTAGAATTCACTGTGTAATTCTAGACTGGCCTCAAACTCATAATCCTCCTGCTTCAGCCTGCGTTATAGATGCTCGCTACTGTGCCCAGCTTAGATGATTTTTGTTTGATATGTATATGTATCCCATTCTAATTTCTTGTCTGAGATGTTTCATTTGATCTATTTTTTGACTGATAATTGTGCTTGTTTAGAGTTGTTTCTTTTTCTTCTGGATGGGTACTCGTGAATTACCGGGGGTCCGAGTGCCGAATCCCTTCTTTTTCTTCTCTGCGGTATTGGAGACAAAGCCTAGGACCTTACGTGAGGCCAGCCTGGTCTACAGAGGAAGTTCCAGGACAGCCAGAGCTACACAGAGAAACCCTGTCTTGAAGCAAAACAAAACAACAACAAAAGAAACAAGGGCATGCAAGGCATGGTGAATACACCTTTATTCCCGGCTCAGAGGATTAATAGGCAGAGGCAGGGGGATCTCTATGAGTTTAAGAGCAGCCTGGTCAGCATAGTGAGTTTTAGGGCAGCCATTGCTATGTAGTTAGACCGTCTTAAAAAAGAAAAAAAAGATGATCAGTTTTGTTTCTATTACCTGCTTAGAAAGATGAGGCACTCTATGTAGGTCACTCTCATTTATTCATTTATTTGTTTATAAGAGAAAGGACCTTACTATATAGAGTAGGCTAGTCTCAAACGCAGAGATTTGCCAACCCCTGCCTCCTGCATACTGGAATTAAAGGTGTATGCCACTCTGCCCGGGTAGGTTACTGTTATTTTTATCACAAATTACTTAAAGATATATTTTTAATATCTTCTTCTGTTTTTTAGTATAAGAAATTGTATTGGAAACAAACATAAACTTCATTTATTATTATCTTTTTTTTTTGGTTTTTTTCTAGGCAGGGTTTCTCTGTGTAGCTTTGTTGCTTTTCTTGGAACTCACTCGGTAGCCCAGGCTGGCCTCGAACTCACGGAGATCCGCTTGTTTCTGCCTCCTGAATGCTTGGATTAAAGGTGTGCATCACCACCGCCCGGCTATTATTATCATTTTTAAAAGGCTTAACTGGAGCTGAAGTAAATTAAGCTAAATTATACCCAGGTTAGGAAATTGTTTTATTTCCTATGGAGAACCAGAAGAAAAGCTTCATTTTAAAAACATTTGATAGAACATACATTTTACTGCGGTTGACAGCAGGAGGCAGGTTTACATTTGTTTTATTGTTTTAATAGTTTATGATGTTGAACAGAAATTCTCCTAAAGACGACTGACCTTTCCCAGAGTTGCAAAGCAGACATGCTTGCCACTGCTTCCCACTGTGCTGCCCTTGGCTCCTCTCACGTTTCCTAGGAAAGCCTTCGAGGAGAGGAGAGCTGCAGGCACCTTGACACTTGCTGCCAGGCTCCCTTTGCTTGCAGAGTGGCTTTTCTTGCAAAGATTGCCCAACAGGGCCGGAGAGGTGGCTCAGTGGTTAAGAGCCCTGGCTGCTCTTCCAGAGGACCTGAAGTCAGTTTTCACTACACAGTGGCTGCTCACAGGAGATCCAATAGTCTCTTCTGGTCTCTACAGATACCTGCACTGATGTGCATATACTCGTGTGTGTGTGTGTGTGTGTGTGTGTGTGTGTGTGTGTGTGTAATTAAAATGAAAAATAAAATCTTAAATTGCCAAACAAAAGCAAAAGCAAACCTTTTGGTGTGAAAGAGTACTTGAATACAAATGAACTTGAACTTAGTAATGGATTTCTGTGGTTTGATTTTTAGCTGTGCCTGGTTCCAAAGCCCATATTCTTTCTTGTCCTGAATGTAGTGTGGATGTGAATGTGTGTGTGGATGTGTTTAGTAGGAGTCAAGGAAGTGGTGGTTGCCATAGCTTTGGTGGAGACACTGATTATTCATGAAAGCATCTATCATAACTGCAGGAATCTCCTGGATTTTTTTTTGATCTGTATATTAATAAGCTAGGCTAGTGATGCATTTATCTAATTATTTTTTAACAATAGAAACTCAAGAGTCAGATATTGGGATAAGAACCCGAATGAGCATAGCGGCATCAAAGTGACCAGTGATCTCCTCTCTCTCCCATTCATCCATCCATAAGGGCCAGGACCTCTGTCAGTCCTACCCTATTACTTCCTGTGCCTATCTGTCATCAGTCCTCCAAAAACTCTATGGTTAATTTTGGTCAGCTAGTAGCTAGCTCTGCTCTTTGATTCAAAACAAACTTTTTTGTCAGTCTCCAGAGCATCAGAATGCATTCAAAATATCACACAACTGGCTAGCATGTAGTGGGCAGGATTGTAGTGTACATAGTAATTTTGCCAAACTAGGTGATTGGTTAAAACTAATTTCCCAATTTTTGTTTTATTCTAGGACAGAAATACATAAACATGTGCTAATTTAGATAAAATGGACATCTATGCATGAGTTAAAAAGAAAGTAAGAAAATATATTCAGTCAGTATAAAAATTGATTTATTTATGTGTTTGTACCAAGTCTTTATGTTTTTTGAGGATTTTAGGTGATGTCAACATGTGGAACAAGTAACAAAATATTAAACCACAAGAACCTAAGTGTTGTATATATGTTGACAGTTATTCTGCCCTGGAACTTATACCTGAGTTGAGATAGCAGATTAATATAATGGTATGGACCTGGAGTACGATTGTGGATTGAGGCAAGATAATCTCTTGAGCCTAAAAAGTTCTGTCCTAACTTGGACAACGTAATGAAATCTTGCTTCAAAACTAAATAATAAAACCAAAACCAATTAATTTGCTTTTCTGTACAATAGTACATATTTAAATGAATCTATGTATGGGAGTTTTGTCTACATGTATATACATACACCACATGTGTGAGGTGTCCTCATAGGTCAGAAGAGGGCATTGGATCCTCTGGAACTGGAGTTACAGGTTATAAGCTGTCATGTGGGTGCTGGGAATCTGGGTCCTTTGGAAGAGCAGCCAGGGCCCTTAACCACTCAGCCATCTTTCTAACCTTGACAATATTTTTTTTTTTTTTTTAAAGATTTATATATTTATTATGTATACAGTGTTCTGCCTGCATGTATGTCTGCAGGCCAGAAGAGGGCACCAGATCTCATTACAGATGGTTGTGAGCTACCATGTGGTTGCTGGGAATTGAACTCAGGACCTCTGGAAGAGCAGTCAGTGCTCTTAACCGCTGAGCCATCCCTCCAGCCCGACAATATTTTTTTAAGTAACAAAACTGAACAATTATTTTATTTTCTTTTTAAAAGAACTTGACTTAATTGTGTCTACTTAGGGTAGTGCCTAGACTAAAGTAAGTAATGCCTTTGGATAACATGGAATGACAGCAGCAGACGTCTGTATATTTAACAGCTAGCAAATTTGGCAGCGGGGGCTGGGGGTGGGGGGGTTGTCGTGGTGCTGATCCCTGGGAATGACTGTCCTCCGTCTCCTTAAAGGTTTTTGAGTTAATTGAATCATAGAAGTTATGGGAAAAACAGGTCCTACATTAATGTGTGGCCTTCGAATCTTCTCAGTAGTGCTGCTTAGGTGTGACATTCTCTTCAGAATGGAGGATAAGATAGAGCTTGGAAAAAATGAGGACATGCTTCATATTTATCAGGCAGTGTGTTATCTTCTGTTTTTAGCAAGTGAGCACTATGTAAACTTGGTCTTTCTTGGTCTATGCCATTATGTTTTTGAAGTGAAGTGAGGTTTCTCTGTGAAAGAGCAGAGCAAGGGAACAGCCTTGTAGTTCGTGAAGCCAGGGATGCATTGAATGTCATAGATGGTTTTCCTGGAGGACAAGGATAGCATTTGAAACAAAATTCTACAAGAACCCAGGCCACTATTTAATTTTATAAAATGACCATTGCATTGTACTCCAAAGGCTGTTATTTAATTTCTTACACTTCAGTATGCTTTTGTGGAAGATTGATGGCTGGAGAGAAAGGCCAGGTGTTGTTACTAGGAGTTGTTCTTGTTTTTAAAGCAAACCTAATTTGGTGTAGTTTTTATAAAGTTACATTTATTCCCCTTCCATATTGTCCCTTATTATATACACCTGTATTTATTGCCAAATCTGTACCATATCTTGTGACTAATCTTTGTAAGGAATACCCTTCATTATCGAGGGGGGAGAACACAATCTTTTTGAGAGGTTAGAACCATATGGTATGTTTCAGAGGGAGTTAGTTTTTTTCTAGAAGTTAAAATTCAGTTCAAAATCAGGAATGGTTAACTGAGATAATTGGAAATCTGACTCTAGGTGACTCATCCTCAGTGCCTGTGGTGTTTCTGCAGTGGATTCAAGCACATCATTTGCTTTGTCCTGCAACCAAGTACTTTTATGTTGCTCTTGTACCAGGCTTTTTCTTTTGGGCCACTAACCAGCTCCCAAATCATGACACAGAGACTTATTACTAGTTTTGAATACTCAGCCTAGCTTAGGCCACATTTCTGGCTAGCTCTTTTAACTTAACTTGTTTCTCTTTATCTGCATTTTGCCCCGGGGCTTCTGACCTTTGTTACTTCTGTATGTCTTACTTTCAGTGCTTCTCTGTGTCAGGCTGGCTGGCATCTGTCTGGCGTCCTGCCCTAGGCATGTCCCTCATTCTCTCCTCC